AACACTCACTGAAAGTCTTTTGACGGCGCGCAGCGGCCAGGACACTGAAACATGGGCCGGTAAGCAAAAACAGCAGAGATACTCACACAAAAATTTACATGCTAAGGCTCGTGGAGCAAAATGGGTGCTCGAGTGGAGTCTCATACCACGTAGGACATGATGAGGAGGTCCTCATGGATCCAAGGATCCACGGATTGATATACAGGATCAAGGTGTTCGAAGTTTTGATCATAGACTTATGAATCAAAAGGTTTGTTGTTCATCCTCTCGGACAATATTTTCCGATGACATACTAATGTTGACATTAGAGGCGTAGACGAGTGTCTACCAAAATGCTCAGCACTGGGAATCAGACTGGTTCCACAGATGACCCTTGCGTAACCAACTCATCACGACATCCATTTCATCCTTGTAAATAACCGATAGTGCCTCGTTCAAGAACGTGCAGACTTGGATTTACTGTCGTCCGTCAAAGGACAGTTGGGCGATCAGTAGTGTGAGTAGTCCGTACTCTTGCACGACACAGTGGCATTGGTTACCCCCCATCTCCACCTCTCTTTTCAAGTCCAACGCAGTCCGGCGTAATCCTTTGCCAATACATTTAGTTCGCCTGCCTTGTTACTAGAGACTGTAATGTCTCCTAATGCTGTAACGTCTCCTAATGTGTTGGTATTGCAACGTTTATTCTGCTAAGTGGCCATCTGAGTAGGTCTACGGCTGCTTCGAGAGGGCGTTGTTCAGTAAACGTTGGTAGGAGGCAATTCATCACAGGACATTTCCAGCGAGTCAGGTGACCCGTACTTGCGAAGATACAGTGAACAGTGGCAACTCCCAGCGGAAGCCAGTTGTGTGCGATCAACGATGATGACCTGGACCCGGTAACCCGATATTCGTACCCCTGAGAACTCCTTGGTATCACCGGACATCCAGATCCACGTTCTCAAAAAGCTGAACGATGAAGAATTCGTTGCGACTTCTAAAGTCCAGTCTCCATTCTCTTTGGATGCACACACTCCTCAGGTCCGAACGCATGAGACTGAAAAGCGTAACTCTAAATATGTGCTCCAATCGTTGCAACGTTTTTGTGAAGGGGCGGGGTCATACGTCTTGCCACGTTTAAAGGTCTATACTGCACCGTTGAACATAAGCGTGATCACTTTTTTTCAAGTGCAGAGATTCTAAATGTGAAACCAAGCTAATCGAACTAATGTGTGCCAAACCAACCAATTTATGCGCTCGTAGGCTCAGAAATCACTAAAGGCGCGTACTGTACACGTAATTGCCAAGTAGTGGGAAGTTAATCGTAAACTGAAACAACCCCTACGAAGGGTCTGGAAAGTATTTATTTAACCTAACTAAAGTTAGCGGCGACACCCCCCGCCCCCCCCTTGAGAGGTAATCCACTTACGGCACGCTTTCAAGTAATCTGAACGGCAGTTCAGGATAGATCAGACTGTCATTCCCGTTTTATTTTTTACAAGATGTTCGAATACATCGCTATAAAGCGCCGGTGTGAAAAAACTGTTTTTCAACCGTGACAACCAGCCGACAAGAGATTACTAGATTCGGACGCTGGGGGGATACGCGCCGTACCAGCTGCACACAGTTCACCTGATGGGGAATGAATTCAATACCCTTCAAGACAAACTGGCCCTCCGTTGGCATTTAGAACGTCCCGGGAACCAATTATCCAACCTGAGTTTTCTGCGTGGTAGAAATGTCCAACCCCACACTGGCACCCGTTACAGCAAATATCGTCAACGCACAGCGACCACCCAGCCCCTTGCACCCTGTGGTCGCTAACCTGATGCAGGTCCCGGCATTTCCAAACCTTGGTAAGAACTTTCACGTAATAAATCAAGCCCAACAAAGATATTTTGGACTCAGAGGGTACAGAGGGTTCACGCAGTGATGAGTGGCTGTATGACCAAACGCAGAGCCTACGATAAGAGTTAAACTAAGTGTTCAATACACCCCTACAGCTTTTGACAATGTCGAAAGGAATCCATTGTCTGCTAACTGATATCGGTCTTATCGATGCCGTCCGGAAATTAGGTAATTTTCTTGGATTACATTAGCTGTGGGGTTATCGATGCCGTCCGGAAATTAGGTAATTCTCCTGGATTACATTAGCTGTGGGCCACTCTCATCATCATCACGAGCGACAGCATGACATCAGTTTTCAACACCGATGCATCACTGCCGTATTGGGAAATCTACACTACTTTCTGTATCAGAAACTATCGAGGAAAAACATCGGAGCAAGTTATAGTGATTCCTTGTTTTACACAAGATTACAAAAAAACAACAGATCCCTCCAGTTGATAACCAATGAAGACAATGATTCAGCGAACCAGTAATTTGCTGAAGGAGTCTGTCACACCAGTCAGATCCTTCAACAACTCAACAGAAAACACTAAACCTACATGATAGCCAAGCAAGAAGGAAAAAACAGCATACACACACTATGCTTTATCCGTAAGCTATACGACGCGAAATCGAGTTCTACTCATCCAAAGTGAACCAACAGTCCGTCTGTGGCTTCACATTATGTATTCAATCTGCGAAGCAACAATTAAGTGACCTTATTTATGACTTTTCTTAGGAACTGGTTGTCCCCCGCCAAAAGAATAGCAAAGCATGGCAACGCAATGGAGACATTGCGTATGCACAAGATGGCCAAAGTAGCGTAGAGCATAATTCGCAACAAAGGATATCAAGCGACGAAAACACATATTTTCGATGGTCCACGCAAGTAAACGCTTGCTGCAGGAACTAGGTCACACACTAGAACTTCAAGATTGACAGTGGATTCTGAATTATCGTAAGCCGTGTGCTTCGCACTAGCCACGAAACAGCTCCAGTTAGACCATGGTTTCACTTTCGAATCTCCAATTAGGCGATACGCTGGATTCAGTTTCTTATAGAGATATGCAGTTCAAAAAGGCGTAGCTCGGAAATTTTGCACCCTGGTCCCTCAATTCTGAGTCAGATTTCATATGACTGTACTCGAATTGGTCGTAGCCGGAATTCGGGGCCTTAATGCCGCCGTCATAACTGGATCCGCATAAAACTACTTCGATGTCCTTCAATGAAGAGCAGCGCAAAGTCATCACTAACCACTGCTACGGGTGCTGCAAGAATACGAAAACAGTTTTAGGTAAAGGTTTAATGAAACAACTAAATCGCTCACATGGGCAGCACCACAAATTGAATAGCAAACATTCAACAGCAGAAAGAAATTGACGGGAAAACCCGAGTCAAAAACAAACGTAACCACCTAGTGAGGCGGCGTGCTGACCAGCTTACTCAAAAAAAGAAAGAGTTGATTTTTTTGCGGCTGCGCAACCAGATGAGAACTGACATTGAAGAACGTTCCGAGAGAAAAAAGGGAAGTCAACAAACAAGCAAACGGAATCGAGGCGTACAAAGACAAACGCCATTACATTTCTGCCTTCATTCCATCTCCTGCTAGTCCTTGCCCTTTCAGATCCGGTTTAGGAGGCTCCGATACAACATTCGAACCATCTCCGTTTTGCCCCGGTTGGGAACTTCCCATGGCCAGTCCATCAGCAGACGACAGATGTGCTTCTTCAGCCAACTCCGGTGGTAAGTTGCGACTGGTTTTCAACACACTGATACCCTCTTCCAACTGTCCACAAAAAATAAGTAGTGGAATAATGCGAGTTCATCACGGTGTAAGAACAACTGGTGATCATGCTTTAACTCTTCCGTAAAGAGCAAACAATATCCCAAGGAATCAGAGCAAACTAGAAGAACAGCAAGACAAATGTTCATTCTGTTAAGGAACCATGGAGGACACGAGAACCAGAGGACAGTCCGTATTAGATCAGTATCATATACATGCGGATAGTCCAGCAGTAGTTACTTCAAAGCAATTGTAGGCTAGCACAGGGTCTCTTCCCTATTCATTTTTTTCCACAACAAAACCCCGAATAAATTATGGCCTACATTTCCGGACTGGCTTGCTTAGGTTCGGAGGACTTGGCAGTATCGTATCGTGTAACTTGACGCCAGCCGACCCTCGAACAGGATGGAAAATCGACGTTAGTGTTAGACACTGATGTTTGTGTCCGTCAAATCAGAATGGAATCGTTAGCCCAAGGTAAACAGGGAGTGTTTTAGTGGCGTGTTGGCGTTGCCGTCCCTGATTCGATGATAAAAAACTGAATAGCAAGACCAACTCATGACAGCAGTTTCCGGACCCCCCGGATTCAAATGAGGTCAGCAAAACAAAGTTCATTAACAACCATGAAGTGATGGCTTCTGTGCAGCTTTCCCGGTTTCCAACCGAGATTTCGTACCTTAAATGGAGTCAATCTGTGCCGGAAAGCCCATAACTAAGGAGCTTTTTCTCATCCTTGCTGAAAATCGGCAGCACTGCGTATCTCACGAACTCGCGACCTCCCCGCCCAGTGGTTGGAAACCACATCACCTCGAGTTTGCTCGACTGTTACTATTTCTCTAGGTCATGAACGCAAAAACGCAAACCCGGTTTTTGTTCTCTCAACCAGCAGAAAATGAAGTCTGGTGATTACTGTTCAATGGGGATCCACTTCAGCAGCTAATAGCGCCTCCGACTGGTACCCTTCCTGAGCTATAAGTCACTGAAGAAGTAACCCACTGTTGGTTGACTTCAGTGTAACACTGGAAAACTGGGTATAAATTGTAAAAAAAAATCAAGGGGCGAGAGGTTGAAACTGTTACTGTACTCGATTTACTAACCTTGGCTCTTAAGGACTCCTTTGATTCCAACAAATGGATAACTTCAGCATTGTCTACGCCCAACAGCATACCAGTGAGTTTTTGTGCGAGAGTTGGGTACATCTCCTGAACAAGAGGGAACAACCTCTCCCCAAGCGTTCGCTTCTGATCTTCTTCTGAGAGTTGTGCCAAAGCACTTATCGTCAATGGACTCTGGTCGCCCAACGGAGCCAGTACCGAAGGCATGTTTCCTGGAGCCGTCGTGGGTTGTGTAGAAACGTTTCTCGCAGTTTGGTTGAAGCGGACGTTACCAGAAGCGCCCGGCATCGCACCCATTGAGGGATGCATAACATTTCGTGGAACCTGAGGAGCAACCGGCTACGAAAAAGAAAATAATACGGTGAGCAACTGGACACTTGTGGAAAATAGATCACGAAACCATTCTATCTAGGCGTTTCCGTAGGTGAAAACATGGATATCGGGTACAATTAATGTGAAGGTAACGCACCTACACCGTTAATCGGACCTCAAGCTGCATTATAGAGCTGTCTAGCGAGCCTGTGGTAACTAGGACCTTTAGAAACCACCGTGGTGTCCCCGAGGGTTATGCACTGCGCAAAACCAGAAGCCTCCGAGGAGCAATCCCAAAGGTTTCGCTCCCATGCTGGTGAGGTGAAACCATCTCAAAATTGTGAAGGCAGTTCATTTGGTAACAAATTAGGTGGATTTATAGTGATCGCAAACGCACCTGTTGAGTATTACCGCTCCTCATAGATGACAAACCCTCCGAGGCACTGATGTGGGCTGTCGAGTATGGTTTGCGGAGAGAGCTAGGTGAATCTAGCCGACGGCACCTTAATTCGGCATGAGGGTTCAACGGTGGAGACGTTCCCTGGATTTTAACTATTGATACGAGACGCATTCACATCTTTTTTAAAACAGTCCAGCGATAACTCGTAGATTGGAAAGGTTTACACACAACATACTAATAATTTATCATGCCCTGAGTCGTTCTCGATAAGTTGAACTCAGTCCATTTCGATCTGACTAGCAAAAGAGTTAGGTCAATGTGGCAACTACCCTTACCGTGATTGCTTTATTCATTCGGGAGTGTTGCTGAAGGTGTTTCCCGGGGGATTTCAACATGGGTCGCGAAAGCAGTCCTTTCAGGGTGTCACCCAGAGGGTCCTTCGTGGCGGGGATACTGAATTCTTAGAAGTGTCAGGAATGTTTCGTTTGGGTGATACCTGATAGTAGCCTTTTAAAATAATGCCGACGTTCGCACATTCAGGCACCAATACACGGCCTAGTGTAGGTTACTTCCAAACGGCTGCCAACCCATAACCTTTGGGTTGATTTGTCAAAGGCAGAGAGGTAGTATCTCGGGCAAGCACTGCCAATGGGCTAGGTCATCGTCAGAGTTCCTTTTGGGGATCCGTGAGGTGCCGTAACTTCCCCCCAACAGATACAGAGGTCAGAATAAAACATCTTTAACTGCTAAGAACCCCTTATGCGAATTGGCTATTGATAGTTACTCAAATCATAGATAAAGATAAACGTTCAGCTGGTAGCACCCTTCCGGTGCCTAGCTGCCATGCCACCCGAAGGGAGCACGAGGGCTGGGATACTGCCAGGTTGCCCAAGCCTAGACAGGGGAAGTCGAGTGGCGGAGGTCGGATTCGAACCGCGGACCTTCAGGTTAGTAATCCGCACTCTAACCACTTCGGCCATCTCGAATCATAGAGAACGTCTTCATCCTAAGACTACTTCAAACGAAGATGCTGTGGGCATTAACTATGAGTTGGTTTTTAGCGGTTTTACTCGTCATCATGAGCTGCACGAATTCTTGCTGTTGTAATGTCACCTACTGACGGCGTTAAAACAGGTACGCGCCGGATGATCGGTGTCCTGCACTTGTGAATGCGACGGTGCATAATACTTATGAGCCCCGGGAGTCGGATGGGCGGGCAATTAAAAGAAATGTCCTGAGTGCACAACACTGGGTGCCTAACTGATGCAACTGCCTCCAAACACTGACGTTTCCCGAATTTACTGCAGCCTGATGCATGTGACTCTTAGGACCAAGTGACATGACTTCTCCACGCTGCGAGACTAATCGGGGGGATTGGTTTTAACCCTCGAGATTCCTGCACCGCCCTTAGGCAAGAAGTATCACGAACAGCGAGGCATGTAAAACAAGGTAATTTAGTAGGTGTTGAGTTAATTCGTAGGACCGAGGCTATAACTAAACACTGAGTCTATAGTTCCCAACTGCTGTGGCCAATTTGCTATCTTACCTAATCAAGGCTCACATGCAGCGGTCACTATATGCAAGACACTTCGTAAACAGAGATTGTAGGACGCCAGCAGCCGTACGCATCATAGACCCAGCAAGTCGACAGCAAAAACTAGCCTTCACCACTCGAGTTACCACCTCTGGAACGATGCACACTTGGATTGGAAGATTCCTATTTAAATTGGGGAAAACGTTCACCCGTAGCGCCCTTTAGGTGCCTAGATGTCATGCAAACGGAAGAGGGCACGAGGGCCCGGAGACAGCCAGGTTGCTCGAGCCTAGACAGCAGCAGTCGAGATGGACCTTCCGGTCCGTAAGATGGTACCCTAATGGTTGAGCTATCTTCCATTTGGTCGCTCTGTGAAAATAAGAATGGCGCCATATCTCACATTAGAAAATATACGTTCAATAGTCTTTGCTCTTCTACTCTGTGTGGACGCTTCTATATGGACCATCGCTCATCCTTCCCTTTACCAGTAGTGCCATTCTGCACCCCACATCTTACTCGCCTCAATGTTATTTTACTCCGACTTGACGACGACCGAACATTACCGTCTTGTTAGCACTCTCGGGTGGGGGTTGTCGAACTCAACAACTATCGAGCCCTTCCAGGTACGGAAACTTCACTCGTCCACATACGCTCTACTCCCGAATACCTGTCATGTTCGGGAGAGATCCCTCTCGCTTAATCCTCCTCAGTTGCACTCAATATAAGTTATACGCTCTATCGATAGCCTCTCCATGACTGACAGTTTGCAAATATCGTCAGGGACCTCTCGTCTTACTGTCATTAGGGAGGTCCCCCGGTGATGAATCCCTTTCCTCACAAGTTTAAGGCAGGTGACCTGTCTCATCAAGTCACCCATATCATGTTGCCAATAACATCGCATAACTGAAGTCAATCGGAACATCCCGTCTAAGAGACGCCATTCCAAGGCAAAGATATGAAAAAACAACCTGTGGAGTTAACTGCGACCAACACTATGACTCACCCGGACATTAGGGCCACCAGCCACCACTGAAGCCATAGATGGTCGTTGTGGCATACCACCTGCGGGACCAGTCATGACCTGCTGCATTGGAACTCCGGGTCGACCGGCAGATTGCCTCTGTCCAGCAGCAGGGTTCATCATAGCCGAACCGGGCATGTGCGGGGCAGTTGGCATAGCTGACATTGCATTAGGTACGATCGGACGACCCACACCAGCCGGAGACCGTAGATGAGCCATTGTAGCCATTTGGTTCGCTGCGACACCCGCTGCAGGGTTTGGTGCACCAATACATTGAGTGGGCATCGGCGGACGCGCAGAGACAATCCCGCCAAGTTGAGCCGGCATTCCACCCGACATAGCAGCTGCCCTATTTCATCGTGGTTGTGAGCTTATGACAGCACCCGTAGGATGGTAATAACGCTGTGCTTGCGGGAACACGGTAGGTGGGAAGTGATTCGGAGCAGCCGCGTGTACAGCGGCGGCAGGCAACATCTGTGTAACAGGACTTCTATATTGAGCCAGGCGCTGTTGATGCTCGGCAATCAATTTCGCGCGTCTGTCTTCCTTGCGTTGAGCTAAAGCAACATACAAGGGTTTGGAGCCCACCAAAGTGGCGTTCATTTCAGTGACGGCCCGAGCTGCCTGTTCCGGCTGTGTGAAGCAGACAAAACCAAAACCCTTAGAACGCCCGTTTGCATCAGTCATCACCTTTGCACTAGTGATTGGACCGTAGTGCGAAAAAGCTTCCTTTAGTCTTTCATCATCGATGTTGTCGTCGAGATTCTTGACATACAGGTTGACCCCAGGAACATATTTCGAGAGACGCTCAGCCCGCTGTTTTTCGAGGCGTTGTTTGAGTTCTTCCTGACGTTCTTCTTTGCGTTGGGCGCGGCTGGCATATAAGGCTCGGCCATTTATTTCTTTGCCATGCATAACCCTGACGGCCTGTTCAGCATGATCTGGGTCATGGAAACAAACAAAACCAAAGCCTTTAGACTTTCCTTCAGGGTTCTTCTCGACGCAGCAGCTCTTAATCTCCCCAAATTCACTGAACATATCGCGCAACTTCTCATCAGTAGTACCCAGTGGGAAGTTCTTCACGTAGACGTTGAATCGAAGTTCCCTGAGACCGATTTACGGTCTGAACTGGATATGAATTTGCCGATGTACACAACTCGTTCATTGATCATCATGCCGTTAATTTTCTCAATGGCACTTTCAGCACACTCTTCTTCCTCCAAATGTACAAACCCATATCCCTTCGAATTTCCGTGTTCGCCCATGCACGAGAGTATTTTCTCGATAGAACTGAAAGTATCGTAAAGGTGCTCCTGATAAATGGTCTTATTCAAGTTCTTTATGAAGATGTTACCCTTCCCGGACTTTCGAAGTGAAGGGTCGCGTTGGGACCACATGATACGGATGGGGCGCCCCATGAACGACTCATAGTTGAGATTTTCGAGGGCGCGCTCGGCTACAAATTGTAATCACGGATTCACAATCCAACTTACCATCTTTTGGTTCTTCGAAATTTACGTAACCGTAACCGAGAGAGTTTCGGGTGGCCAAATCGCGACAAATGCGAGCGCTTAATACGGTACCAATTTCCGAGAATTTAGAATACAGCAAAGCTTCCGTGGCCAGCGGGTGCAAGTCACCAACATATAGGGAGGTCTGAGGCAAGCTTTGTGCCGTTTGGGTTGCAACAGCCATTTTTTGTTTATAGATTATTCTTTTGAAATTTTTTTGGGAGAGTTTTTGTGTTTTTTATGTTTTTGCAGCGTGCACACAGTGCAGCCGCACACCGTTTCAAATTTCGCCGTAAAAGTGGGAATGGGGGCCCTAGTTCAAACAAAACTCGTTG